CCCCACCTACGACCTTCACTCCACGGTTTATCAAACAGGTGCGAGGCCCGCTCGTCTGGGCTGTAAAGGCCACGAGGACAGGGACCTGGGCCATCCCTCCACTTACCACGGGGCACCTCCCTCCTGGTCATGGGCCTGCCTGCTGCACGAGCGCCCGACAGCCGGCTCGCAGACGGCTGTTGGTGAGCACCTGGCTGCCGGGCGCTGTCCTAAACGCTTTGCTTGGAGCTCCTCGTTTGATCGTGCCCATAACCAGATGAGGGATTCCCATTTACAGGCGGGAAAACTGAGTCCCAGAGAGGTGAAGTAACCTCTGCAGCTTGGTGGCAGAGCTGGGATTTGAACGCGGGCCACCTGGCAACCCCACTCCGTTCCCCGGGCCTCCTGGTTTTGCCGGGTTGCTGTTATCCGCTGGGCGTCTGCACAGCCCAGACCCGGCCCCGCCCGCCCCCCACCCCTAGCGTAGCACCCAGGGACACTCACGCCAAAGCAAGGACAGCAACAGATGTTTCTGTGAAAAGAAGGTGCTGCTAGGAGCAGCTAGCGTTTACTGGGCCCGTCCTGCACGCCGAGCGCTGAGCTAAAGCTTCTCTTGTGTGTTCTCATGGACTCCCCACAAAAACCCTTGGCGGGAAGAACTCTTCTTTTTCACCATGATGGGGAGACTGAGGCTCAGATTGGCGGGGGACGGGGATCCCCCAGCCGGGAAGTGGTGGGACAGGCATTTGATCTTCCAGCCCAGCCTCCGCAGGGCTTTACTGTCTGGTCTCTGGGGACCATCCATTCCCTTTCCATAAACGCTTCAGAGCTGTGAGGTGGGCCCAGCCCTGGGGGACACGGCCACATGACAGGCCCTCACGGAGCTCCAGGTTAGGTGAGAGAAGCCCCCTGGACACCATCTCAGCTGAGTCCAAGGATGCCCAGAAGAAGGGGTGGGGACTCTGCCTTGAACAGTCAGGGAGGTCTTCCTGGAGGAAGGGGCATTTGCACTGGAATCTTGAAGAATGAGTAGGAGTTCAAGAATTGGAGGAGTGTCACGGGCATCCATGTGTTTCATTCATTCAACAAATAGTTCCCAAGGCCTCTGGTGAGCCGGGCCCTATGCTGGGAGATGCTGGGGACACACCTGAGGCAGAGCCAGGCTCCGCCCTCCAGAAACTTCTAGTCTTATGGGGAAGCCAGACGCAGGCGGTCACCACAGTGTAATTAATCTGCATTCTAATGGAGGTAGTCCGGGCCTCGTGGGCACACAGACCAGGCCCGGAGGGCTTCACTGAATCGAGTCAGCGTTCCAAGCAGAAGTTCTACAGGTGGACCTCGTGTGCGCTGGCTTGTTTGCTGGCACAGTAAACATTTCTGTGGGCCAGGCCCTGCCGCGGAGGGAAGCAGACGCAGACACAATCTCGGGTCTGCGACAGAGGCAGGGGCCAGGCTCTGGGGCTGAACGGGTCTTGGACTCTAAGGTCAGCCCTGGACAACTGAACGGCTAGCCTGACCCCCACCCCCAGACACTGAAGCCCAGAGAGGGAAAGGGGCTTGCCCAAGGTTACACAGCAGGGAGCGGGCCTCCTCCTCCTGCAGGCTGGGGACTTTGTGAGCCGAATATATGTGACATCCAAATTCGTAGACACAGACCAGGAGTCAAAGGCCCTCTTGAACCGCCCTCAAGCCAGGCCCCGAGGCCCACAGGGAGGCAGACGGCACTGACCCAAGGTGCGCCTGGGCCGAGCTCTGGGAGAGGCAGCGGGTCCCATGGGCGACGGGGGTCGGCCTCCTGGGAGGGCCCCGTGCTGGGGCCTGGAGGAGAAGGGTTTGATGGGGCGAGGAGGGCAGCGCAGAGCTGGACCACGCACGGGCCGGGCCGCGGGCTCAGGACCTGGGTCCCGCAGGCCGTGGGAGTCGGGGCGGGAGCCGAGCCTGCTCTGAGTGTCGGGGAGACCCCTCTGGCAGGGGGTGCGTGTCCATGTTTACGTCTGCCAGGATGCGCGGTCGAGTCCCCCGTCTCTGCAGGGGCCGCCCCAGCCCAGGGCCCTGGCGTGTGGGCTCAGCTCCTGTGGGCGGCGCCAGTCCAGGTCACCAGCTGAGTGCAGCAGCCCTGGGGTCCCTGAGCCCTCGGGGGCGGTGTGGGGCACCTTGGACAGTGCCCTCCTGCCCCTGCTTTAGGCGTGGGCCTCGGTTCCTTCAGGGTGAGGCCCTTGGTGCGGTGCGGGGGGGAGGGGGAGTGTGATTTGGGCCCCTAGGGGGCCACTGGCAATGTCTGGAGCCTTTTCTGGTTGTCAACACTGTGGGGTGAGGGGAGCTGTTGGCATCGGGCAGGTCCAGACCAGGGATGCTGCCAACGTCCTGCAGAGCACAGGACAGCCCGCCCCGAGTGCCAGCGGTGCCGAGGTTTAGGAACCCTGGCCTAGGGTGTGTGTCCAGGAGTATGGCAGATCGTGTGTGTATGTGCGTGTGTGTGTGTGTCTGTCTGTCTGTCTGGAGCAGCCTAGGAAGGGATCTTGGTGCTCACACGTGACTCTGTCCACAGAGCACTGAATACAGCACTGAACGTGCCACCACCTGTGGCTGCCTTTTGGCCAGGTGTGTCTCTGTCCGTGACTTTCCAACTCCCAGAGTGTGTGTGTGTGGCCACGTATGGTCTGATCATAGGTGACAACGTGACCTGATTCTTGGCCCAGGGCAGGTCCTTCCAGTTTGAGGGGTGTGGCGGTGTCGCTGCCTTGTCGCACTGGTTGTGGTTTTGCGCAGGTCTGACTCTGGACCCTCCAAAGGGGGGGCAGCCGGCATTGGGGTGAGCACTGGGCCGGTGCGGGCGCCCTCTGGGGAGGGCTGTAGCCACTGCAGACTTTGCAGCCACGTGGGCGGGGCCGTGGGGGTCGGTGGAAGCGGGTGGGAACCGGTTGTGCGTGGTGGGGCGACTCAGTGTGCAGTGGCTGTTTGGCCTGAGACTGACCATCCGTGGCTGGATGTGACAACATGGCTGCTCCTGGGACAGGGCCGCCTTCCTAGCTGACCTTCCGCTGGGCACCTGCGCAGGGCTGTGTGTGTCGGCGTCGCTGCTGTGTGTGCGCCTGTCTCTCTGAGCGGGGCCACAGCCGTGTGTGTGACTGAGCGGGTGGGACTATCTCCTGTGTGTGTGTGTGTGTGTGCGTACTCGAGTGTGTGCGTACTCGAGTGTGTGCGTACTCGAGTGTGTGCGGCTGTTTGTGTCTGCAGGGCTGGGCGTGCACCTGTCTCTCTGGGCAAGGCCACAGTCAGTATGGAGACCACTTCTTGGCCTGGGGAAGCCTGCGTCCTGTCCAAGCCCCTGTGTGCGTGTGTCCATCATCCATCTCCTGCTGTCCCCAGGGCTGTTTGTGGCGGCGTCCACTGTACAGCGTGGGGAGGGCGAGCCCCCTCTCTCCATCCCGGGCTCTTCAAAGCCCAGCAGTGACTCTGGCCTCAGCCTAGGGTGAGGGGCTGCAGGGCCCAGCCCCAACCCCCCGGGTCTGGCCGGCCCACTGCGACTGGCTCTGTCCCGGCCCCATCCAGAGGGGCAGCTGATGGAGAGGCCCCTGGGAGTCGTTGGGCCGGCACGGGCAATTAATTCATTAGATTAATTAGCTCCTCGCCCGGGCTGGGGGCAGGGCAGCCCCGCGCAGGGCCCTCCGGTCCAGCCGTCCAAGGTCAGCCAGCGGCCTCCTCCCCTCCGCTCTGGCTGGTGCCAGCTCCGCCGCTCCACCGCCTCCGTGTGCCCCGCCCCCGCTGCCTGGCCCAGGGCCAGCCCGCCAGCCACGGGGCACGGAGACACGGACGAGGGGTGGGCGTGCTGGGGCCTGTGTGCTGCGCCGGAGCGTGTGGCGGGCGTGGGTGCACAGTGTGTCTGTGAAGGTTTGTGTGTGTCTAAGGGCATTTGTGTGTCTGTGAGAGACGTGTTCTGAGGGCACATACGTGTGCGTGACTGCGTACATGTATTTGTGTGTCTTCATGTCTGTGTACACATGTGTCTGTGCTGAGTATCTGTATGCAGCCGGATTTGTTGTGTCTCTGAATGAATGTATGTATGTGTACATGTGTGTATCTGTGTGCATGCATGTGTCTGTTACCTGTAGACCTGTGCATGCGTGTTTGTATCTGTGTACATATGTTCAGTATGTATATGTTTCTGTGTACATGTGTATACTGTGTACTCTTGTGCATATGTACACGTGTGTCTGTACACTGTGTGATTATTTGTATATGTGCCTATGAACATGTGTATTTGTATGTATGTGTGTATGCATGTATGTGTGCATGTGTATGCGTTGTGTACATGTGTATCTGTGTGTATGTGTATGTGTGTACATGTGTCTGTGCATATACATTGTATATCTGCAATGTGTATGTGTGTGCACGTGTATCTATGTAACTGTGACTCTGCATGTTGATATGTGGGTCCCTGTATACTCTGTGAACTTATATGTGCTCTAGGTGCACCTGTATCTATGTGCATGTGTGTCTGTATATGCACATATCTGTTTGTGTACAGGTGTCCGCATGTGCACGTCATGTGTGTGCACGTGTCTCTGTGTTTATACACACGTGTTTGTGTGTGCACGAGTGTATATGTGCATGTGTCTGTGTGCAAGTATGCACATGCACACATGGATGTGTGTACATGTGTGTCTCTGTGTATATGTGTGTGTGTACACACGCATCTGTGTATGTATCTATCTGCATGTTTGTGTGTTGCAACCGGGGTGTCGTCTTTGTGTCTCTGGAGGTGTGTAGGTTTGCATGTCCACGTGAGCCTACCTACCCCAGTCTGTGAGCAGTGCGGGCCCGTGGGAAGGTGGGTGTCGCGCGCACCTGCTGACTGTGCCTGCTGCGTGTGTACCTCTGGAAACACCAACGAACGCGTGTGGTGGTGGGTGCAGGAGACGTCTGTGTCCATAGGCGCGTGTGTGCGCACACGTGCACGGTCTCTGCGTGCCCAGCCCTGCCCGAGCTGCCGTGGCTGAGCCGGCCCCTCCGTTCCCCAGGGCTGCTGTCCCAGAGCCTGGAGTTCAACTCTCCTGCCGACAACTACACAGTGTGCGAAGGCGACAACGCCACCCTCAGGTACCTCGCACAGTGGGGACGCGCAGTCTTGCAGTCCCGCCCCTCCCCTTGCAGAGCCTCACCTTCCCGGGAGGGGTCCGGATTCAGGGACAGCCTGGGATGGGAATGCCTGGGCTCCATGAGGAGCCAGGCTGGTAGGGTGCGAACGCCCCCGGGCCGCAGAGTCCCATCTGTCCAAGGGGTATAGAGAGGGCAACTGCCACATCGGCCGCTGCAAGAATTCGGGAGCTTGTGCACACACCCGGCTCAGAGAGCGTGGCATACCGTGACCGCTTAACAGACGAGAGCCAGGATCACTGTTTCCCAGACCTCTGCCTCCCTCCCTGGGTCTCTGTCCCCCCCTCTGGGTCTCTGTCTGCCTCTCCCTGGGTCTCTGTCCCCCCCTCTGGGTCTCCCTCTCTCTGGGTCTCTGTCCCCCCTCTGGGTCTCTATTCCCCCTCTGGTTCTCTGTCTCCCTGGGTCTCTGTCCCCCCCTCTGGGTCTCTGTCCCCCCTCTGGTTCTCTGTCTCCCTCTCTCTGGGTCTCTGTTCCCCCTCTGGTTCTCTGTCTCCCTCTCTCTGGGTCTCTGTCCCCCCCCTGGGTCTCTGTCCCCCCTCTGGGTCTCTGTCTGCCTCTCTCTGGGTCTCTGTCTCCCCCTCTAGGTCTCTGTTCCCCCAGCCTTGGTCTCAGTCCCCCTGTCTGGGTCTCTGTCTCCCTCTCTCTGGGTCTCTGTCCCCCTCTCTCTGGGTCTCTGTCCCCTCCCAGGTCTCTGTCCCCTCCTCTGGGTCTCAGTCCCCTAGTCTGGGTCTCTGTCCTCCTGCGTCTCTGTTGCTCTCTCCCAGAGCGTGCGTCCCCCGCTCTTTCTGGGCCTCGACCACGCACCGGCCACGCAGTAACCGCCCGCCGTCACAGCTTTTCCCGCCTGAGGCTCAGTCCCCCCCTGCAGAGCGGGCACAGCAACATCCCCCTCAGGGCTGTGGCAGCACCTGGGGACGCTGTGGCCCACTTCTCCCTCCTGCCCCCTCGTGGGGGACCCTGGATGGCCGGGCCGGGGAGGGCGGAGGAAAACCCTCCTGCCCTCATCCCCTGGCAGCTGCTTCATCGACGAGCACGTGACCCGTGTGGCCTGGCTGAACCGCTCCAACATCCTGTACGCGGGCAACGACCGCTGGACCAGCGACCCGCGGGTGCGGCTGCTCATCAACACCCCCGAGGAGTTCTCCATCCTCATCACTGAGGTGGGGCTCGGCGATGAGGGCCTCTACACCTGCTCCTTCCAGACCCGCCACCAGCCGTACACCACTCAGGTCTACCTCATCGTCCACGGTGAGCCTGGCGGGGCCCTGGCCGGGTGGAGGGGTGGAGAGCGCAGGGGAGGGCCGAGGGCTCGCGCTGACTCGCCACCGCGTGTGCTCACCGAGTGCCGCTCCCCAGTACCAGGGAGACATCTGCGTGGAAGACAGATGCGACTCCACCCTCGGGGATCCAGCCCAGTGGGAGGGGGACAGTTACACAGATGGTGACACTTCAGCGTGATCCTTTCTGGGGCAGGAAAGCTACGGGGGTGTGGGGTTGCTCAGGGGAAGACCATAGTCATTCGCTCAGCCCCATTTACTGAGTGCCTACTATGTGCAGGCAGTGTTCTAGGCACTGGGGGTACAGAAGGTACAAGGCAGCCTGGCCCTGCCCCTGGGGAGCGGATTTTCCAAGGAGAGCTCAGGGAGGGCTTCCCGGACGTGACATCTGAGCTGAGACCGTCACTGGGCACAGGGCTAGTACCAGAGAAGAAACAGTGGCCAAGAGTGCAGAGGGAAGCCCCCGTGGCTGGGAGCGCCAGGATCCAGAGGGGGCAGATGGGCTGGAAAGCTCCAGGAGGGTGCAGGAGCAGAGGGAGGGGTGGGACAGCGCTCAGGAGCCTGCCTCTGTGGCAGCAGAAGGGGTCTGAGGGCAGGGAGCAGCCAGAGAGCTGCAGGCCAGTGACGGAGAGAGCCCAGGGGCCACGGCAAGCACCGACTCAGGAGGTGGGACGCCGCTGTCCGCCAGCCGCGGGACCCCAAGCAGGCAGAGAGGCCTTGGACTCCTCGTCCGCAAGGATGGCGCAGTCGGTCACCAAATCCAAGACGTCACCTTTACTTTATGCCCTGCTACAAAAGGAAAAAAACTCTGCTAATTAAACCCTGGCGTCTGGCGTCCACATTGCAGAGCCATCCTGATTGGAGAAATGTTCAAATGTGAGCAAGAGAGGGAAGAAAGAGCACAGACATGTCTTAGAATTGATGAGATATGGTAACAGCTACTACCCCTGAGGCTGGTAGCGAGGGTGTAATGACGGATTTGGGTAAAGCCCTTAAAACGGCATCTACCACACGGGAAGTACCGTATGGGCATTTGCTACAGAAATTAATCAAAAGTAACAATAATACACATAGAGGCAGGGCGAGGGGAATTCAGACCAGAAGACAGAGAAGCGAAGTTAGGATGAAGGTGGGGAGAGACACGGAGACCGAGAAGACCAGCAATTAGACGGGGCGCGTGGCCCAGACAGACACTGACTGCGGGGAAGAGCGCAGAGGGGCTCTTACGGAAAGACAGACGGAGAGGCAGCGGGGCCCCCGGTCGGAGGGAGGAGGCCGGATCCTGGGCGTCCATGTCCAGCCTGTCCCCGCCCTGTCCCCGCCCGCAGTCCCCGCCCGCATCGTGAACATCTCCTCGCCTGTGACGGTGAATGAGGGGGGCAGTGTGAACCTGCTCTGCCTGGCCGTGGGGCGGCCGGAGCCCACGGTCACCTGGAGGCAGCTGCGAGGTGAGGACCCCCCCCCAGGCTGAAAGCCCCTTACCCGGCTCCACGGTGCGGGCCCCTCCATCCCCATATCCCGGGCTACCTTCCCCCTTCCCATCACCTCTGACCCCCTCAACCCTTCTGGCCACTTGATTTCGCCCTGCTCCCAGGTAGTTCATCACCAGACTCCGCCACCGGCTTCCCATGTGCCGTCCCAGGCCTGGGCCACGGCCTCCCAATCTCCCGCCGAGCCCCAGCTTGCCCCCCACAACCCCGATACCCCTGGCCCCTGCCTGCGCGCACACAGGATTCTCCTGCATTCAGACCCCTGCCGCTAGGTGCCCCGAGCCAGGCTGACCTCCGTGCTTTCCCGGGTCACATCCCACTCCCTTCTGCCGGGTGCCCCAGCCCAGCAGGCCGCAGAGTGTGGGCCCCAGACCAGCGGCATCAGCATTCCCTGGGAACTTGCCAGAAACGCACGTTCTCAAGCCCCCGCCCAGACCTGCCGAAGCAGAAGCTCCCTCCACCCCCACCCCACGATGGGTTTGAGCGAGCTGTGAGAGCCACTGCTGACGGCCACCCCCAGACACAGCTCCAAGGCGCCTGAACATGACGGCCCGGGTCCTCGATATCATCCGCCCGCCCTTTACCTCGGCCTCCACCACCAGATCCCAGATCCTGGGTCCTCCCTCGCTGGGTCTTGGAAGACCCCATGGTGCCCGTCGCTAGAGCCTGTTCCCTGAATCCTGAGACCCCAGAACCCAATGACTCGATCTCAGATCCCTGGAGTCTGGATGCCCTAAGTCCCAGAGGGTCTTCGGAGATCACCGATGTGTCATCAGACCCCCAGATATGCTGAGCTCCACCCCCAGTCCCCATGAGCTAGATCCCAGAACTGCGGGCCCTTCCTCATGGGTGTGTATTTGCTGCATCCTTCTGAGACCCCGAATCCTAGGATCCTCCTCTCCACTGGGTCCTCTGAGCCCCGTGACCTGAGTCACAAGCCCCCAGATCCCTGGATCTCCTGAACCCCCAAACTCTAGGACCCTCCTCGCTGGGTTCCAGTTACCGCGCCCCAGACCCTCACTCCTCCCCCGTCCTTAGCTGGAGAGACGCCAGGCCCGCACCCCCCTCCCACCGCCCCGGGCACTCCGGGCCCTGCCGTGCCGCCCCGCTGATGTGTGTCCGTGTTCTGCCGTGTTGTCCCGTGTTAAGTGTCTGTGTCTGGCCCCGCTCCCCCTCCTCCCTCCCCGCACAGACGGCTTCACGTCGGAGGGCGAGATCCTCGAGATTTCCGACATCCAGCGGGGCCAGGCCGGGGAATACGAGTGCGTGACTCACAACGGAGTGAACTCCGCGCCCGACAGCCGCCGCGTGCTGGTCACAGTCAACTGTGAGCGCCCCCCGCCCTGGCCCGGGCCGAAAGGGCAGCGGACCCGGGGTCCCTGGGGGGGGTCTGATGGAGGAGGAAGCCAGGGCGGACTCCCGGGTCTGGGGGCAGGGGCGGGGCGCGACCCCGGTCTCCGCGCGGCTGGCAGAATCCGCTCCCTCCCCCTCGGCAGACCCCCCGACCATCACGGACGTGACCAGCGCGCGCACCGCCCTGGGCCGGGCCGCCCTCCTGCGCTGCGAAGCCATGGCCGTGCCCCCGGCGGACTTCCAGTGGTACAAGGACGACCGGCTGTGAGGACGGCACCGGGGCGGGCGGGCCGTGGGCAGGGGCAGAGGGAGGTCCGCGGTCCCTCGGATTGCGGGGCGGGGTGACCCTGGCGGCGGCGAGCCAGCCCTGGGTCTCGAAAGCAGGGCTGTCCGGCGTCTGGCACCCGCAGGACCCCGGGGAGCCAGACTCGGGTGCCGGGTCCTCCCGGACTATCCAGGGAGGTCTCCGGATCCGGGGGTCGGTGCCGAGGACCTGGCGGGCAAGGTTCGGGGGCCCAGCAGGGCTCGGGAGCTCCCAGCCATTCGGGGCGCGCCCCGGGAGAGGCCCGCGTCCCGAGGGCCAGGGTGCCCGGAGAGGGGCGGCGGCCGGAGTGACCGGGACCCACGAGGGGCTGGCGCCCGAGGCGAGGGTCGCGGGGCGGGGGCCCGGGTGTGGGGCTCCGGGGAAGGGAGCAGCCTGAGAGTCGCGAGGCCGCGCTGTGCGGGCGGCCCCTGACCCAGACCCCCGGCAGGCTGAGCGGCGGCGCGGCCGAGGGCCTGAAGGTGCAGACGGAGCGCACGCGCTCGATGCTTCTCTTCGCCAACGTGAGCGCCCGGCACTACGGCAACTACACGTGTCGCGCGGCCAACCGGCTCGGAGCGTCCAGCGCCTCCATGCGGCTCCTGCGTGCGTGCGGGGGGCGGGGCTTAGGGGGGCGGGGACGCGGGGATCGCCCCCTCCCCCACCCGACTGACCCCCCGCTTAGCAAAGAGACGGAAGCGGAGACGCCAAAGCAACGCGACAGAGCGCCCCCTAAGGGCAGGGGCGTTGGGCGTGGGCGACACCGCAGTGCACGAAAGAAACAGGGTTGGGGACTCGCCAGCGTATGGCCCAGGAGCAGTGAGAAAGCATAGACGAGAGGTCACCTGGATAAATCAGCAAACACGTACATGAACCAAAAGTAACGTTGCATGTCGAGGAGGGCGAGGGAGAAAACGGCAACAGCAGGATTAGGGTGGGGGCTGTTGCGGAAGCTCACCGGAGATGGCTTCCTGGAGGGGGTTCCATTCAACTGCGACCGGAGTGGCAGGAAGTCAGCGCCGCCAGGTCTGGGGCGAGCTTTGCAGGCAGACGCCCAGCGAGGAGGCGAGCGCAGCAGCGGCGGCCGGGGGCTCCCAGGCCGCCGTGAGGAGTCCGGAGCTTGGTCTTCTGCGGGGCGAGGCTGCTGGTATTTGTCAAGCAGGGGAGGGACATGTCGTCGATGCTTCTAGAAAGAATCACCTTGACTGCTGTCTGAGGGATGGGAGAGGGCGAGATGCAGGCGGCGAGACCAGGGAGGAGGCTGCGGGGGTAACCCGGGCCGGGAGTGACAGTGGGTGGCAGGGAGTCCTCGGGAGATGGTTTGGAGGTGCAGCCCAGAGGGGCAAGTCACTGGGCTGGCTGTGGAAGGGTGAGGGGAGGGGACGTGGAGTCAGAGGTGACTGAGGTTTGGGCTGAGCCGCGGGGTGCGTGGCGATTAGTATTGAAGTACTGGGGGGCAGGGGAACCGTAGCCAGCGGGGGTGGGGGGACAGTCCAGAGAGCGGTTTTAGACGAGACTGGTAGAAATGCCCGATAGGCGACACGGACGCCGAGAGTCCCAGGCTAAGACCGGGAGAACGCAGCGGGGAAGACCTGAGGGTGCTCAGACTGCAAACAGAGTCAGAAAAGCAGGCTCAGGGAACGAGGGCCCCTAAAGAACTAGGCTTAAGAGAGGCGGGGCGTCAGGGAGAGACACGCACGGGGTCTCCCCACCCAGGCCTCCCTGTAACTCTTTCTCTTCCCCCAGGCCCAGGATCCCTGGAGAACTCGGCCCCGAGGCCCCCAGGGCCGCTGACCCTCCTCTCCGCCCTGGGCTGGCTGTGGTGGAGGATGTAGGCGCAACCGCGGAGCTCGCCTCCCCCTGCAGGGGGCCTGGGGCCAGGAGCACGAGGAAGGGGGAGCAGGAGCCGTGGGTCTCCAGGGGGCGGAAGAGCTCTAGGCCACCAAGGAAGAGGAGAGGAAGAGGAGGAGGAGGAGGAGGAGGAGGAAAGATCTTTAGAGAACCCATCACTGTGAGGGATAACGCAAAATTATGCATCTTTCTACAGCCATTTTCGCCACCCGTTCACGTTTCCGATTGTGACCCACCCCCACCACCCCATACCCCTCTCTTAGCTCAGGCTGTCAACTGGCTCGTGCGGGTGTGGGTGTGTGCGTGAGTGCGCGCCTGCATGTGTGTGTTCGCGTGTGTGGGTGGGTGGGCTGGAGCGGGGACTCAGCTGTCCTCCCTCCCCTGACACCCCCATGTCCATGTCCCCACCCTGGCTGCCTCTCCCCTCTGGCCGGAGGTAGGTATGGGGCTCTGCGGTGGCAGCCGTGCCGAGGTCCGCCGGGCCCCCCGCTTCCCCGGCACCTGCACGCACCCCGCCCCTCCGCTCCCTGGCAGAAGGGCATCTCCTGGGCAGGTTGGGAGCGGGGAGGTGTGACACCCGCCTGTCAAGCTGTCCTTCGGCCTTTGTGAGTAAGAGGGGGATGTCCATCTGGGCTCCGGGCCTCCCTGCTGTCAGCCACCAGCTGCCTGTAGCCAGAGGCCTCATCGCTGGCTCAGTGGCCTGAGACCTTCCCACTTTCCCTGTCCCTCCCCACCCTGGACTTTCTGGCCCTCTCCTGGGCCAATCGGTGCTTCCATCCAACTGTCAGGCTGGTGGCAGTCGTCGCCTGTCTGTCTCAGTGCTTTGCCCTACCCTCGCTGCCACTCCCCTTGGCCACCTGTGGCATCAACCAGCTGCCCTCGGGCCCCTGCAGCTGGCCCACAGGTGTGGGCTCGCTGGGCTGCCACTCCCCAGCCTCTCTGCCAGCTGTACCTCCCAAAGGCTACCTGAGCGCCCTCACCCGCACTCAGACACACACACACACACACCAGCGACTGTGACCAGCAATAGCCCCCGGCTCCAGCTGTCCTGTAGCTGGTGACTAGCTGCAGTTCCCCCAGGGCTGGGCTACTGTCGTCGGGAAGGGATGCGGAGAGGCTGTAGCCTCAGCTCTCACTGTAGGAACAGTCCACCCTGGTCCACACCGCGCAACGTGGGGGAGAGAGAGGCATCACACAGACACCCTGAGCCCAGACAAAGATGCCATGTCACCAGCTCCAACTCCCGGGAGACCCTCTCTGCAAACACCCACCCCCAACCACACCACCCAGAGCTTGGTGGAGAGGAGGGCAGAGCAGGGGCAGAGGGCAAGGGGCAGTGACTGTACCTCAGACGGGGGCGTGGGCCCCATCCCACATTGTCTTCCATTCCCAGGGTCCAGGGCACAGGGTGGGGCGGGGGAGGGATGCAAGGGAGGGGGTGGGGGGCCCTGGGGGCCGTGTGTTCCAATTCATGGGGAGTGTTGAGACCACCACACCAATAAACGCCTTTTTCCAAAGTCTCTGCCTGCAGCTGTCGGTGTCATTAGGGATTTCGAGGGCAAAGGGTCATTTGTGGTGAGCGCTCCTACCCCCACTTTCTCTGGTAGACTGGGAATTGACCTGTTTCAGAGGTGGCCCCTGATTGGCTTAAGCCACTACGCATAGCTCATTTCCCACTGTGATCAGAGATGGGCACGTGACCCACCAGGGTAATGGGACAGTGTATGGGCTCACAGGAAGGGATGCTCTTCCACTGGATAATGTGGCTTACTGATTCGAGGTCTAGTCTGTAGGGTTGCTCTTCTCCAACTCAGGGAGAGATCCTGGGTCTGTGGGGCCAGCAGTGGTGGGGAAGACAACATGTGGAGCCTGAGCTCCACTATAGAATGCAGAGTGGGAGGTCTAGAGAAATAGAGTCCATGATCACATCATTTAAGCAGCTGGATCAAAACTTACCTGATGCCCACCTTCACTTACATAAGCAATAAGGTCTCCTGTATACTTAAGCCAATTCGACATTAGGTTTTCTCTCTCTAGTGAGCAAGAAGGAAATGAAAACCCTAACATACAGAAGGCCCAGGCAGGTACCGAAGACCCCAGTTCTCACCTTTCCAAAAGGATCCAAGGGCTTGCATGGTCTTTTCTACCCCAACCATTAACCAGATGTCCTCACACCCTTTCCTTCCCTGAGATAGATACTGGTTGCCTACACTTTAGTTCTTTGCTGGCAGACCCACTTGCCATGATACAGGTTGAGAGATTTGTTTTCCCAGCCTCCTTTGCAGCTATGTGGCCAGTTTTGGCCAAAAAGACATAAAAGGAAGTTTGCTGGTAGGCTTCCAGGAAAGTTTCCTCCCACCCACCCCTCTCATGAGGGAGGAAGGCAGGGAGGGAGATGTGTGGGAAGGGAGACCTGCGCCCTTTCTTTCATCTTTGGATACAGTTGTGTGAAGATATGGTGACTGGAGCTGCAGCAGCTGTTTTGCTACATGAGGCAATACACAAGGAGACAACATGCTAACCCCACTGATGGTAGCAAAGCAGAAGGATGAAATGGGCCCACGTCCTTGATGTGTCTGAGTTGCTGAGCCAGCCTAAAACCACCCACCTCCATTTTTCTTGCCACCATTTGTTTTGTTACTTACAGCCAAAAGAATCCTCACGGATGCACTCCCCAAATTCTCAATGGGAAACTCAGTTGAAAAAGAAAGACTTATGCTGGGGAGAGCAGCAGCAAGCCAAACCCTTCAGTGACACCAAGACATTTGATCGGTCAACAAATATTTATTGATTGCCTGCTGTGTGCCAGGCTCTGCATTAAGTGCTGAGATAACCCATGACCACGGGAAGGGGCAGGGAAGGGTCTTCCTTCATGGCCATAGTTACCCTTAGACTTGAGAAATCGACAACACAGGGAAAACGAAGTGTTCCAAGCAGAGAAAACTCTAGGGACGAAAGGCGGGAGGCAAAGTAAAGTGTGGCTGAGAGATGCCTATACTGGGGTCAGGGAGCAGGGACAGTCTTGGGAGGGGGGGTCTGGAAGGCTGACAGAGGACAAGGCTTGCAAGGTCACAGTGAGTTGTTCTGATATCTGAAGGGCAATGCACAGCCGCAGAAGGGTTTAAGGGGGAGAGGGACGTGATCTGATCTGTTTTATATGAAGAAGCTGGGAGCTGGATGGGGTGTGGCCTGGACGAGGCAAAATGAACGTAGGGGGACCCTTTCAGAGAACGCGGCCAGGCTCCCTCTCCAGCTCGGAGCCACACGCCAAGCCTGGCCTGTCTGCCGCAAAGCCTCGGGGGTGGTGCAAACCACGCTGTCAGATCAGCAGGAGTCTCTCCTGGCCCGAGAGTCACATCTCCTTAGCTGCACAAATACAGGTAAAGTCTTCTGCGGTGAGACGGGGAGACAGGAAAGTCCCACTTGCAGGGTCCGACCCTCAGGCACAGCAGGCCCTGCCTTCTGCTGGGGCAAAACAGGAAGTTCTGCCCCAAAACGCCCTGTGCAGGGTGGGATACCGGCTCTGATCACACCTGCGTGGCTGTCCGAACAGTTTTTGTGCCCACACCTGAAGAGACAACTGGACTGGGGCCCACGGCCTGGAAGAGAGAGGCGGGTGGTGGGGACTCAGGAGGTAGCCTGGGAGTGGCCTGACTCCCCCGCCTGGCCTCTTCCAGCTCTTCTTGAACCTTTTAGAAATTAGCTGGGTTCCCTTCTTTTGCAGGTAGCGGGTGGGGTGGGGAAGTCTGGCCACCCTTGGGGAAGCGAAGTCATGCAACGACCCAACTTTTATGGGGAAATGAGCAAATTCTATCCCACCTCGGAGAGAAAATGTAAGTCTTGTCCAATTTTTATGGAAAAGAAAAAAGTAGGTCCCCTCTCACCCTCCCTTGGAGGAGAAACGGAAATTCGCTCTTCTTTTAATATACATGAAAGTTGGACGAAAAGTCCTATCTAACTTATGTATTTTAAAAAAAAGAATAAGGTTTTACCAACTTTGTAAACTAACGAGTAAAACTGGAGGGAGAGAATGGAGACCATCTCCTCTCCCCGACCATCAGACGGAAGTCCCGCCTCGAGGTCACTCACACTCACTTGGTAGGGCTTGGTGGGGCTAGGGTCCTCCAGCGGGACTTTGGGGGGCGGAGGCCGTGAGGTCTGCACTGGGGTCACACTCTGCTGTTTCTTTTCTGGTGGGGCGACCACGGGGGCCAAAGTGAGGGGATGCTGCTTCTTCTTAGGAGTCTTCCCTGAGAAAGAGAGAGAGAGAGAGAGAGAGAGAGAGAGAGAGAGAGAAAAGGAAGAGAAACAGGAACATGTGATTAGCTGGAAGAGAAACAGGAACATGTGATTGGCTGCTCCAACATGCTGACCCAGCCAATGGCAAGGGAAACTGGTCTGAGTGGTGGAGTCTTACTCTGATTGGCTGATTTGGAGGTAGGGAGGGAAGTTTGACCTATGATTGTGCTGATTGGTTCAGCCAGGTCTCCTATGGGCTTCTTTCTAGGGACCACCCCAGCTGGCCGCCCTTCACTCACCCCGAAAGTGGCGCAAGCAGCAGATGCACAGGAGGAGAAGCCCTGCCAGCAGTGCCAGGCCCAGTAGGGAGCCCAGGACGATGCCAGCGATGGCCCCGGGGCCCAGGGTGGGGCCTGGAAGAGAAAAACAGAAGGGGAACAGGAGCCAGGGCTGGACCCAAGTTTCCAAGCCCCTGACTCATCCTTCCCATGGGCACCCAGGAGTCCAGGTTCCTGCCCCTCCCCTCTCAGAACGCAGGAACCTGGGACCCGAGCACTCTCAATTCATTTAACATTTTCTGAGTGACTCTGGTGCGCCTGGCACCCGGCCAAGTGGTGAGGCGTCATTGGTGGGCAAAATAACCAAGATACCTCCGCTGGGTCAATTAATTCTAGGAGGGAAGTCAGAAATAAACGAGCAATAAATAACATATTTACAGATCGTGCAAAGAAGGAAAAACAAGTGC